AGTAATGCTTGATCAAATACTTTGTTGTCATTATAAAATCTTCAATGAGGGACGTTTATTACATGAAAATCTGAAACGCAGTTATTGTTTAAAATGTATGGAGGATCTCAAAAATGTAAGCGACTTTAATAGCTAAACTACCTGATATTGTCACTTATTGACGACTGTTTATTTTAGAAACAATGGGTTGTACCAGCTATTCGACATATTCACGAGTTGTTAAAACAAAATGATTATCCAACATTTAAACGCAATGATATGGTAAATACTACATGAGAAACTATCATACAGTAAAAAATAAAAGTGTACAATGTTCATTTCAGAATCTGATATCGTTATTAGTTGATGGAAACGATTTAATATTATATTTAATTCAAAGTTTAACAACATGTCAACAAGATGTATGGGAAAAAACTGAAGGTGAAGTGAAAATTGATACATTGGTTGACGGACGTTTTACTTATGAAGAATCAATCAAATCACATCTAGATTTATTATCGTTTTTATTAAAAAAAGGCAACATGTTTTTGATATTGCGCCGTGCAGAAGAACTGTGGGATGTACTGGTAACTCATGAAAAATGGTCACCGTTTACTCGTGAAATTGGTTTAGATTGGTTTATTGGAAATGTTGACGAACTTAATGCGGAAACTCGAATGGCATTATTCAAAAATCGTATATCAAAATTCAATTTCAACAAAAGTAAAACGATATTTTCTAAACCGAGTCCAAAAAAATAAAGATTACTTTAATATTTCAGGTTATCAATGTTACAAATTATATTTTGAGCATTGTGAAATAAAATATCGTCAAAGCAATGCATATTCAATTACAGTAAGTATAGGAAAATAATTCTATGTTCTTTGTATATTAACAGAAAGCATTTCTCAACTGCGTGAGATGATTTAATTTAACTCGTTGAATAAGATTCTTACCTTTCTAGGGGAAGATTGATTCGACTAAACTTGAAAACGCACGTTTACGAGCTAGACTAGCACAATTAGAAGAAGAAAATTCGCAGTTGAAAGTAAATACCGAACTAAATTATTAAAAAACTATGAAAAAGTCTTTGCTTCTCTAAATATAACAAACTTTTTACTATGTATTTCTAGTCAAGATGAAAATCTTTATTGTTGCTTACTCATTCTTTTAATATTCTAGATAGTTTTCACT